TGGTTATTTTCCAGCCCTTTTATTGTCTGTGATCTTGTCTCGATGTTCAGAAAGCCTCTGAGAAGTCTCTGTAAAAGATGTAAGCAGAAGTGATGGCTGTATTCGAGCCAAGGTCCATTCAAGGGCATAGTGATTCAGGAACTTTGGATCTGACTGGATTAGGAAAACGAATTGGTTGTGCAGCATCATCAATAATGGTCCCAGCGTAGTGCTGGGTGAGCAGCACCAGAACCACTCCTTAAAAATGCATTCCCTGGGTGAGGTGACTCAGCCAGTGAGATGGTTCAGCCAGTAAGGCACTTGTCCTGCAAAGCTGATGGACTTGACTTCAATCCCTGAGAAACCATGTAAAGTTGGGAGGAGAGAACCAAGTCTACAATGTTGTCCTCTGACCTTTACATATACTCCCATACACATATACAACAATAATAAGTAATATAATAAATAGTTTGGGAAAGTGCTTTCCTCAGCTGGGTTTGGTAATGCATGCCCACAAGCCCAGGACTCAGGAGACTGAGGCAGGAGGATTGCAAGTTTGAAGTTAAGAGTGGTTAAGAGTTAGGTTAAGACTCATAGTTTGTGACATTTGATGAGGATCTTGTCAGCCTCTTGGCAGGGCACCATCTTTTACAGTCCCAGGTGTTTGTGAAAGACTCCAAGTCCCGATTCTTTATCATCTCTTTAAGTTAAACAGAATGGTAATTGATTAAACTTGGGTTGTATTCCACACAAACTGTCTTCCCTGTGGACAAACTGTCTCTTCTGTGGGCTCCATGTATTCCAATGAGACCTACATGCTGTAGTGTATTCTTGGGCTGTGGAGAGTGTCTCGGGCTCTTCGGAGTGACTCTGGATGCCCAGAGCCGTTCTGTATTTTGCAGTTGGAGATTTTAGTATGCTAATTGGGGACTGTTGGCTCATGAGGTTTGATTAGGCTCTCTGATAAAGATCCATCCTACTCAGATGTTTGTCATTTGGGGTGTCTATTTTGGCTCTGAGTCGTGGAGTGTACAGGCTAGCAGCTGTTGTAATTTTTGTGGCTTGTTTTTTCAATCAATCCTTGGCTTCTGCAGACATGGGAGGTCATTTGACCCTCAGAAAAGATGAATCTAGTTTGGGTGGCCATCTCGAAAACAGGAGTGAAGAACACATGTCTTTGTTCATTTGTAAGAAATGCTGGTTTTCTGGAAAATTTCTACTGGTCCTACTGAACAGAAGAATCTTCAGGAGTTGATATGTGAGCTCACCAAAGTTGCCAACGGTTGCCGTAGTTTTGACTTTCTCAGCCTTAAACTTAGAAGCCATTCTGGTTCTCACATAGCAGAGCCTGAGGAAGTCTGTAACAGTGATGCGTCACCATAAATATGCATTGTTCTTATTTTTAAACCCTTTGCGTTCTGAAAGTATGAGTGCGTCTGCTATTATCTGTGAATTTCCTTTTGCTGTTTAAGACCCTTTTAATGGCAATATGTATTTAAAGCAGACTTACAAATTAACATTCACCCACATCCCCAGGCCTGTGGAGAACCAGGTTGGAATGAGTGGGTGAGCTCTAGCAAGCCAGGTGGCTCCTGTGGGCTTCTCTAGGGCTGAGGTGAGTAGCTGACGTCATCGTCGTCAACTGTGCTGCGAATTTGGAGGAAATAGTTTTACCCCTTCTCGGTGTCGTACTTGCTGGTGAATCAGTTCACTCTGAGCAACTGTGGTACAGAATGGCATCTTGCTCTCCCAGGGCAGGAGTCCAGTATGTGCAGAACATGAGCTGTGTGAACGGGTCAGTTTCAGGGCTATGAGAGGATGTTCTAGTCCCTGACTTTCCTGAAGGTATCTGGCTCCAGGCTGGCCTGGTGCTGGGTGGACTTCCTGAAGGCTTTAGGAGGACCATGCCTGGGGCCTCTGGGGACCTGTTCTGAGACTCTTCATCTGGCTTGTTCTACTTGGCGCTCTGTTGCTTTGATAAACACCACAAACCAAGACCAGCCTGGGGCCTCTGGGGACCTGTACAGAGGCTCTCCATCTGACTTGTTCTAGTTAGCACTCAGTTGCTGTGATAAACACATCAAACCAAAAGCACCTGGGGGAGGAAAAGCTATATTTCATCTAATGGTTTCAGGTCACAGTCCATCACTGAAGGGAACTCAAGCAGGAGTCGAAGCAGGAATGCCTTTTGGTTGCTTGGCCTCAGGCTGATATCCAGCTACCTTTCTTCCACAGCCCAGGCCTGCCTGCTTAGGGATGGTACCACGCACAGTAGCTGGGAATCAAAATTATGCCCCACGGACATGCCCACTAGCCTTGTGTGGGGCACAATGGAGGTGTGATGGGTCCTTCATTTGAGGGTCCCTCTTCCCAGGTGTTGTCAATGGTGCTTAGCCATCATACTTACCTAGAGCTCCCCCCCCCCCAAGATGACAGGAAAGGCAAACAGCAGGTGGAAGGGTAACAGAATTCACATCCCAGAGCTGGCTACTGGGATGCAGTCATTGCCGTGACTCATGAGGTTTGATTAGGCTGTCTGATAAAGATCCTTGGCAAGAAGCCACAGAAGGGAGGAAGGCTTTATTTCATCTTGACTGTCCTGCATGGCAGGGAAGGTGTGGCTGAAGGGGTGGGGTGGGGCCTCATACCGTATCTGAAGTCAGGAACCTAGAGATGAACTCGGGAGCTCAGCTCTTGTTCTCATTGTATTCAGCCTGGGACCCCAGCCACATTTGAGGTGGCTCTTTTCTCTTCAGTCAAACCTTTCTGGAACCCCCCCCCCCCCCAGGTGTGTTTCCATGGTGATCGTAAGTGCAATCAAGTTGACAGTTAAGATGAACCATCACAGAGGATTTAGTGTTTCTTGACAGAAGTGCATTTGAAAAAATGTCTTTTCTGGAAAGGGTCGGACACAGGCTGGCACTGGCCAACAAAGTGGACATTAGAGCAAAGGGCAGGAGAACTCCCAGGGGAACAATTGCTGCCACAGCTCAAGTGGGTCCTAGCTTCTCTCCAGCCAGAAAAGAACCACGAAGTGAGGGAAGGGGAGGGGACGGAAGAATGGGTCTCAAGTCAGCTCCAGGCACCAAGCCAGGTCCTCACACAGTATTGCAAGTGGATTAGTCTTACCTGGAGTTTCCAGGGGAAGACCATGAAAGTTTGAAAAGTGAAGTCACCAGGTGAGTCAGACCAAGCTGATTGGCCTCCAGGTGATGTGCTGACTCAGAAATTTTTACATCTGGTTATCATAAGAAAAGATGAAGGAGGGTTGGGGACTTAGCAAAGTGGATAAAAAGTGCTTGGTGTGCAACTGTGAGGGCCTGAGTTCAAAGCTCCAGCACCAGTGTAAGCCAGATTCCTATGTAGTGTGTGAACACCAGCAGGCCCTGTGTGAGCACCAGCAGGCCCAGTGTGAGCATCCCCAGGTTCAGTGTGAGCACAGCAGGCCCAGTGCTCCTGCAGGGAGGTGGGAGGCTGAGGCAGGAGAGTGTCTAGACACAGAGAGCCAGTTTGCCTGGCTCTATGCTGGCAAACCACAGAGACCCTGACAAGATTGGAGTCAAGGACTGACACCTGTTGTTGTCCTCTGATATCCACTGTGTGTCATGCAGGCTAAATGTACCAACATTCACACATGTACAAATGCTTATGAGTGTATATTGTGAACACACACACACACACACACACACACACACACACACACACACACACACACATGCTTACATTGATGTTTTTCACTCCTTGCCTGGAATTTTCTTTTCTCTTCTAGTTTTTCTGTTTTTTCTTTTGTCGTTGTTGTTTGTTTTGTTTTTTGAGACAGGGTTTCCCTGTACAGGGATTCCCTGGCTGTCCTGGAGCTCGATCTGTAGACCAGGCTGACTTCAAACTCAAAGATCCATTTGCTTCAGACTCCCAAGTGCTGGGATTAAAGGCATGCACCACCACAACTGCCTGGCCTCTTTTCTTATCAAGCATTTTAGCTATATATTCTGATTTTTTTTATTTTTTTTAAAACTTAAATTAGAAACAAGCTTCATTTACATGTCAATCCCAGTTTCCTTTCCCTCCCCTCATCCCCTGATCCACACTGACTCCCCCCCCCCCAATCCCATCCCCTTTCTGCTCCCTAGGGAGGGTGCGGCCTTCCATGAGGGAATCTTTAAAGTCTGTCATATCACTGTTTTATTTTTCATATACATCAGAAATGTAATTTTTTTCTGATTGAAAAGGCAGGTTATTCTTTATCCTGTACAGAATGCCACCTTCTGTGATATGGACAGCTTTCCACAATGGCATGAATAGCTGGAATCGTGTGTTTTTAATATCTGAGACATAGCCCATGATTTACAGGTATCATGATTTAGCTGGTTTCTTATGCATGGGCCTTTGGATGATTCCCAAGTATATTTCCCTTGTTATAAAAACCATCCAGTAGAGAATCTATTTATTTATCTGTTTTTATCTATGAATTGTAAGTACCAATAAAGTAAATTGTTCAGAGTGGAATAGCTAGGCCAAAGGGTATATATTCATTGTTAAATTTTTAATCGAGATCACTGACTGCCTTCCACGCTGACTGTAAAAGGGAAGAATTGTATTGCATTTACCGAACGTCTCCTATATTCTGCTGTGTGCTGAGGGGAATGCAAAATGAATGTTAGCGCGATTGTTGCCCTCCAGGAATATCCATCTATGCGGTGTACCTGATCCCAGGGAATGTCTGGGGCGTCGACTTGGGTGGGTGTGGGAGGAGGTGGATTTAATTCAATTTCTCAGCCTTGCCTTGCAAGCATCATGCACGGTGTCTGGCTGTTCTTGCATCCCTTGCATTCTCCTGGGTCATGCATGCAATTTCTATAGGGCAAAGACCTTATCCTATATCTTAGGAGACGTGTCACACATTATCATTGCGTTCTACAGGCTTCGTGGTTACAACATTGTTAGGTGGTGTTTGAGGGGTCACTTGAGGTATTCCCTATTTGGGGTGTGTGAAAAATGGATAACTTTGGCATTCTTTGCAGGTTATGGAATATCAGCCTGGAGGGGATTTACTGTCACTTCTGAATCGATATGAGGACCAATTAGACGAAAACATGATTCAGTTTTACCTTGCTGAGCTGATTTTGGCTGTTCACAGTGTGCATCAGATGGGATATGTGCATCGGTAAGTGGGACTCGTAGGAAGGTACTGAGAACTTTCCCGAATCATGCACGGGTACCTGCACAGTAATGAGTGACTGAGTTAACTTTGGAGTCAGAAGAAATCTTCATCTAGCCAGCCTGGCCTGTGATTGGCCTAAAGCTTTCCAAAATGGCTGGCATCTTAGCATGCCCATTCAACCCTGGAATAGAGCTAGAATTGCAATGTGCCTGTTTGCTGGTAAGATCTGGCTATCAGATGTAGCCAGTAGGATCAGAAACTCCCTTTTTTTTTGGGGGGGGGCCCTTTGGGTTCTATGGTAGGAAAACTGACCGGTAGAGGGACTGGCACATCCTGGGAACAAAAGATGGTAATTAACAAAAGCTGTTAATCAGTTTCCTTCACTGTACCAAATACTCACAGGTAATTGGAGAAAAGGTCTCTGTTGGCTCACTGATTTGCAAGCTCCATTGGTTCCTTTGTTCTGTTGCTTTGGACGTATTGCAGAAGCCTATAGTAGAGCAGTAACACTCACCTTTAGCCAAGACACGAAGAGAGATGGGAGGAGACAGGTCCCACGGATGGTTTGAATCTGAAATTTACCTTCACGGCTCGTATGTCTTGGTTGCTTGAAGCAATCAGGTCACGAGGGCTCTGATATCACTAATGGGTTAATATATTGAGGGAGTCATACTTTGTCGGGTGTTTTATTGGGTTCTGGTAACTGGGAGGTAGGGCTGGATGGAGGAAGTCGATCCCTGGAGGACGCATTTGAAATGTACACCTTGTCCCTGTTCTCTGGTGGCTCTATTGTCACCACAGAGTGAGCTACTTTGTTTTGTAACATGCCTGATGCCGTGATCCTCAGTCCTCTTCAGGCTCAAAGCAACAAAGCCGCCTAACCGTGGACTCAAACCTCTGCAGCAGGGAATGAAGGCGACTTTTCTGTCCTAAGTTGCTTTCTCATCTATGAGAAGTGACCTGACACTACTCCACTAGGTCCTACTTCTCGCAGGTTCCACTGTCTCCCTGCTGTGTCACACTGAGTTGTTGCTAGAGATTCCCGTAGCCGTTTGGCCCCAAATAAGCACACGGAGATGCTATATTAATTATGAAAACTGTTGGCCAATGACTAGGGCTTCTTCTTGGCTAGCCCTATCTTAATTATTAACCCATTTCTATTAATCTAAGTATTTCTACATGGTCTTATCTTACTGAAGAAGGGTCAGAACCTGTTACTCCTTTGGTGGCCTACATGGCTATTCTGGCGAGCTCCCTCTGCCAACTTTCCCAGAATTCTCCTTGTCTCCTAGTCCTGCCTGTCTTCCTGCCTCATTGGCCGAACAGTGTTTTATTCATTAACCAATAAGAGAAGCATGTATACAGATGATAACTCCATCACTGAGGTCCAAGCCTTTGCAGGCCACTCAAGGTCCGCATGTAGGTAGCACTTTTTACCACCAGCGTTAATAAGTTGCAAAGATGTTCTGCAGAAGTCTCTGTCCTCAGGTGTCTCTTCACATCCTTTCTTTACCTCAGAGTCATATACAGAGATAGCAGATATAGATCATATAATATAGTGGGGATGCAGAATTTGTGCACTTTGTGACCTTGGTGAGTTCTTTAGGTTTTTTTGGTCTTAGTTTTTGAAATATAAAAATGTGAGCCTCTGGTAGAAACAATCATCTGATAGCATCACATTTGCTTTTTCTCCCTCTCCTTTAAAAAAATTAACTTTCCAAGATGGGTGCTAATCATTCCTATCAACAGTGGGGAAGGTCTGCATAGCATAATACATGAGCTTGGATTTTTCGCTGAATTGAAGCCCAAGGTTTGTTGATTGGCACAAAGACAATGCTAATGTAAGGCCTTGACTTTCTTACAGAGACATCAAGCCGGAGAACATCCTCATCGACCGGACAGGACACATCAAGCTGGTGGATTTTGGATCAGCTACTAAAATGAATTCAAATAAGGTGATTAGCAAACAGCATGAGCCAGCTTGGGGGAGGCAGGGGTTGCCCTGCAGAACATTCTGTGGCCCTGTGGATTTGGTGGATGCCAGGCAGCAGTGGTGGGTGACATTTTAGAGCCTCAGCTGTCAGTGTTTGACACTTTCGGAGTGGGGGCAGGGTAGGGCTGCAGAGATGTCCCCCAGATAGTGGTGCCCTTTTGTTATACTCACTAGTACCCTGCCAACTGAGTATTGCTATATTTTCACTAAACAAAAAAAGGGGAAATGTTCATTTTCTTTCCCCTTACCTCTTCCAGAGACTGTTTTCTCTTACATCACCTAGGTTTACTTTAAAATATTTTGATGATACGTGACCTTCTTTTTCTTAACTGCTCTCCATATGTAGCAAAATTGCAATTAGTCACTGGAGAATTTAAACTAAATATCTTGAAGTGTCAAGAGCTAATATTCAAAGGGCCATTTTCAAGTCTTGGACTTTGGGTAAAAATTAAATTGTGTTCCCTGTGCTGGTTAGGAAGCCAGGAGAGGAACAGATCAACAGTGAGGCTACTCTTGAGAAAGATGACCAAGTTACAAAGATAAAGAACGTAAAATCCTCTAATAAAGTTGGCTCATCCTAAAATGTGAATTTCAAGGTCAGCTATGTAGAAAGGTTTAGTCTGAGGGGAAAGTCGACTTAAGCGGTAAGCCCGATTTCACTAGTGAGCCACTTGGTGACTCAGGCAAATCCTAGGGAACTTGGCTGTTCATCCTTTCTCCAGAAGACAAAGATTCTACTTAAAATGCATAAAATTGGAGGCTGGAGAAAGTACTCTTCAGAATGCCTCCTAGGCCTGAGACTTAAGTCCTTTATATGAAGGACAATATGTAAAATTACTTTTTCATCCCCAGATTCCTCTGGGAAAGGTGGATATTATTAGGTTGATATTAGGAAAGGGCTTAGAGCTGCGTTAACTCTGTGCACTTTGGAATCCGGCCTGTGTGTTCTGCAGCCCCGAGAACTTCTTGAGGTAACTTACTTGGCATTTAGGCTGTTAGAAAAACAGAATCTCGATGCAGTCGGAACTCAACTCCAGCATTACTTTTTCCCTCATTTGGGTTCTATTTATTTATTTAATTTTTTTGAGGATTTATTTTTACTAGTTTTATTTGTGTCTGTGTCCTTGTGAATATGTCACCTGTGTGTGTGCGCCTGAGGAGGCCAGAAGAGGGTGACAGACAGATTGCCCTCTCCCCCAAGCTGAAGTTACAGGATGTTGTGGCTGCCTGGCATAGGTGCTGGGACTCAAACTTGGGTCTTCTAGAAGAACAGCAAATGCTAACAGTTGAGCCATTTTTCCAGACCCCTCAGGTGATTATTTATTAAGAATTGTGTAACCAGGGGCTGGTGCAATAGTTCAGGATGTGTTAAGGCACTCCTTGTCAGTTCTGATAAACTGAGTTCGATCCTGGGGCTCACATGGAAGCCAGAGCTACACAGAAAAATTTGTCTTGTAATGCACCCCCCAAATAAATAAAAAATAAAAATTAATGGTTGTTGAGGGTCTAGCTCAGCAGTCAAGAAGGCACTTTGCATGGGATGAGACCGTGAGTTGCGTCTGTGGCACCTTTGCTTCCTTCCCACCCCAGTCATGTATAACTTAGAAATAGATACAAAAGCCAGGCAGTGGTGGCATACGTCTTTATTCCCAGCATTAGGGGAAGCAGAGGCAGCAGGTGGATCTCAATGAGTTTGAGGCCAGCCTGGTCTACAAAGCTACAAAGAGAAACCCTGTCTTGAAAAACAAACAAACAACAAAACAAAACAAAACAAAAAACAAAAAAGAAAGAAAAGAAAAGAAATGAAAGCTCAGACATGGATTGAATTTAGTGAAGTAATGCACAGGGGATAAATCAAATAGCATAAAGCTTTTATAGGGTTCAGAAACTCAGATTATATTAGTGACAGTTATAAACTAATGTGCTTAGAAAAAAATATAGTATAGGTTTATACTCTGACAGTGTAACCTTTTGCCATTGCCATTTGAGTTTGGACAAGTGTTTGTTGTGGGGAGCTGTGCTGTGCATTATTGGATGTTTAACTGGATCCTTGATTTCTACTCACTAGATCCAAACACCACCCTCCACTCAGTTATGACAGCCCCAAATGTCTCCCAGAATACCCAGGGGTGGAGGGAAGAAAACTACCATGAGTTAAGAATAGTGACTGAGTCGGGCATTGGTGGTGCACGCCTTTAATCCCAGCACTCAGGAGGCAGAGGCAGGCGGTTCTCTGTGAGTTCGAGGCCAGCCTGGTCTCCAGAGCAAGTGCTAGCATAGGCTCCAAAGCTACAGAGAGAAACCCTGTTAAGAAAAACCAAAAAAAGAATGGTGACTGTAGATTAAAAAGCATCAGGGAAATAATTAGAGTTGGCAAAAATGTGTCTGCAGTAAGAATAGCCTACGGGAAAAAGAAGATTATGATTTATCATCTCTGTTCCATAAATAAAGAGCAATGAAGAGTAAGGCTTCTGAGCTGAGAATGGTGATTTAGGCATTAATGCCAGCACCCAGGAAGCAGATGCAGGAGGATCTCTGTGAGTTAGAGACCAGCCTGGTCTACATAGTGAGTTCTGGACTAGCTGGGGCTCCATAGTGAGCTCTTGTCTAAAAAAAATGTAAATCCCTGACCCTGCAGCCAGCTGTAGTGACTCTCTTTAGAGCATTCTTCAAATTTTCATCTGGTGCTTCAAAACACCTTCTTGAGTTCTAATTGTAGGAACCTTCACTCCAGGCGGGAGATGCTCGGGTTCATTTTGGTTCAGAAGTCGGTGATCAGACTCACGTGGGAGCACTGTGCTGCTCTCCTCCCTGTGCTTTTAGGGCCAGAGTGTGGAAAGCAGATGAGGACAAGTTTAATATGTTTTTAGTGTTTTGTCTCATGTCTGTGTGTGTGTGTGTGTGTGTGTGTGTGTGTGTGTGTGCGCGCGTGTGCTCGCGCGCGTTTGTGAGTGCAAGAGTGTGTGTGCTTGTGAATGCACATGTGGAAGTCAGGATAACCTCCAGCGTCACTCAGTGTCTTCCTTGTTTTCTGGGATCTGGGATCTCTTGGTTGTCTCGAGGCTGGCTGGCCTGTGGGTTCCTGGGGACTCTCCTGTTTCCACCCCTAGTCTCACGGTAGGAATGTTTGGCTTTAGTGGATTCTGGACCTAGAATTAGGGTCCTTTGGCTTACACTTTACCCACCGAGCCATCACCCCACCCCCTCTAGCAGTGTCTGAAATGTAAAGGTTTTTATTGTAGAAGAGAAGCAATTTTCAATCCAGAGCAAGTATGGATCTAGGACTCGAAATTGCTTTGTTTTTTTGATTAATCGTGAGCAGACAGCTGGAAGTGTTTCTGTTGGATAGGGTGCCTCATAGGCCTAATGTAGGTTCTGCTTGTTTTCTGTACTTTAACTATACTATAAAAACACAATCTGTGGGCTGTGGAGATGGCTAATTTGGTAAAGGGTGTGTCAGGTAAGCATGAAGCCTGGAGTTCAATCCCACATGAAATCCCAGAGCTGGGGAGGCTGGGACAGATAGTTCTCCAGGATTGGTTGTCAGCCAGCCAAATTGAAGCAGTGCCAGGTTCAGTGAAAGATCTTGGCTCAAAAATCAAGGTGGAGGGCTGGCACGATGACTCAGCAGATAAGGGTGTTTGCTGTCATATCTGAGTTCCATCCTTAGGACCCATTGGGATGAAGGGGAGTACTTCAGGTTGTCCTATGACCTTCACACCCTCAGCGCTGTGGTATGTTTTTGTGTGTGTGTATGTGTGTGTGTGGGTGCACCTCCCACATGAATATAACAAAAATAAAGAAAGGTGGAAAGTGATTGAAGATACCCAAGTTGTCCTGTGGCCTGTACTCACACATGCACAGATGGACTCCCCCAGTGCATTTTTGCTGAGCTTCCTGTGTGCTACTCCTAAGTCAGCCAACCTCCTTCATTCCCTTGTATTCTGGATGTCTATGATCTTCCATGAGTTGAGGTTTTTTCCCCGTCTTTTCTTTTCTTTTCCTTTTCTTTCTTTTATCTCTGGCTTCTTATTCAGAAGGCAGTTTACGTGCATTTTACCTTAATCAGCAAGACCGTGTGCCCAGTGACTTATGACCCTCCATGTGACTTAGACCTACTTCCCTTTTAGAATCTCAGCGAAGGGCCAACAGCTAACCCATCTCTTCTGGCTTTCGGGGAAACTAGTTGCAATGGGCTTGTAAAGAGAGTAGAGTATGCATACTAGTCACCTCCTGAGGATCTGGAGACCCAGAGGCAAAAATTCTTTTCAGATTTATGTAGGAGCAAAGATTTCTTCCATTCCCCGTGATTTTCCTATTCTCTCTCTTGTGTATTTATAGACACACATGCGCATATAATATAGATATACAGAAATCACTCCTGTGTCTCTGCCCTCCCTTCTCTCTCCACCCCTTCTGTCAGGCCCACACTCTGGTAATGTAGGTTTTCCCAGCCCTCAAGCCAGAACTTAGAGAAACAAAAATATCCACCTACTTCTGCAGGTGTGTGTGTGTGTGTGTGTGTGTGTGCCTGTGTGAGCACTAGGAGGGGAAGTTGTTTAAATAGCCTTTTACGGCGGTGGTTTGAGAGAAAGAGCAGAATAATTTCCCTCCCAGATTTTATTTTAAAATTCTGTGTATGTGTGTGGCGATGTGCATATGTGAGTGCAGCTCCGGCAGAGTCCAGGAGAGGGAGCTGGATTCCCCCAGAGCGAGGTTACAAGTGGTTGTGAACCTCCTAATGTGGGTGCTAGAAATCAAACTCAATCCTGCAGGATCATCACGTGTCTTAACCATAGAGCTATCTCTCCACCGCTCTTCACCTAATCATCCATCCATTCATCCATCCATTCATCCATCCATCCATCCATCCATCCATCCATCCATCCATCCATAGGCAGGGTTTCTCTGTGAAGCCCAGGCTGTCCTGGAACTTGCTCTGTAGACCAGGCTGGCCTTGAACTCCGAAATCCACCAGTCTCTGCTTCTTGAGTGCTGGGATTATTGGCGTGCGCCTCCATCACCTGGCCATTTTATTTTCAAAAGAATCTGCTGAATTTCCAGTTACTTTGCTTCTCCCCAATCTGCTCCCTTCCTTTTCCTTTATCTTCCCTTTCTCCCTAAAACCTGACAGACATTTCTGCCCCTTGCTCCTGTGTCTCCTGCTGCACTGGTTTCATTTTCCCTGTAAGCAGTGTGAGAATTAAACTAAAGCTGAGTAATGCCTGGAACCCTGTCAGAAGGTGCTCTTTGTGGGCCCGTAGGGTGCCTAGGTCACTTTGAATATCTCACCCAGGTTAGCTGCTGAGCTTCTGTCAGAGAAGAGTGAAAGCATGTGGGGAAGCCCTTATGATCACCTGTGAGACCATGTGATGCTTGGAGGTCAGTGACTAATGGGAACTTGGAAATCTTTAAAAACCTTTGTTAAAGGCTGATAAACACAAGGTTGAAGTTGCACCCACTGAGACTGTGCCAGCATGCAGATTTGCTTTCATAGCTTTCTAGCATGGACAGAAATAAGTATAATATGTAGAAACGCTAATATACTTCTATTATGAGAATAGGTGCAGGATTATTATCTGACTCTGGTCATTAGTGTTGAAATGAGGTGTTGACAGCTCATACCCTCTGATAGGGTCATCCTAATAAACTTGGCTAAGTCAGGTTTAGCTCGTTGGTTACAAACAAGTGATCATGTCCCGTCAGCTGCAAACAAGGAGGGCAGAATATTCTAGAACACACCATGTAGCAGTAAAATAGACCCTAACAACAGCAAGTGATGTTCTTTGAACAACTGTGCAGTTACCGTGCTTGCCGGATAATTAGGCATTGAATCACCAGGGCACACACTGCTGCCATCAAGGCCTTTGTCCAGTGCCAACTACTCTTGGATTTGGGGATGAGTCACCTTGTGCCTCTGTCTGGACTCAGTGTTGCCCTCTGTGCTTTACTGTTGCCTCCAGCACAGGCCTGCCTGGTGTTTCTCACATGCTGTGACTCGTGAGTGTTCTCAAATGGGTCCTTGTCATGAAATGCTGTTGCTCAATGTCGGAAGTGCCAGTGTCAACCTGTTTTCTGGGTTGGGGGCCAGGAAAACCTACAAGAGATTGTGGGCGTGAGGAGAGGGGTTGAAGGAGAGGAAATGGGAGATTTCCAGGAATGATTTCAGTATACCTGTTCTATATGTATGCGTGTGTATGTGTGTCCGTAAATACTTAGAGAAAGAGTGTGAAAGCTATAGGAATATTCTGATATCCTATCATATATACATGTGACAAAGAGGAATGAGATAATCACAGGAATGTTTTATATGTTCATATAGAAACATACATATTTAAGTAGAGAATAAATTCGAGGGCATGGGAGAATTACAGGGAAAAATCTCACTTCTTGGGTAGGAGGATGGACAAGCTTGATGTCATGGCTAAGAGCCTCACCTGACCCCATGGGGAGGGGGCTTTGTAGTGCCCAGCTCTAAACATCCCCCTTCTCTCAAAACTTTGAAATCACATCAAAGCAAACTTGCCATTGTTCTCTTCTTCCTCCTCCTCCTCTCATCCTCCTACTTGTCCTGCCTGTCTTCCTCCTCCTCCTTCTCCTCCTCTTCCTCCTCTTTGTCCTCCTCCTCCTCCTCATCCTTGCCCTTGTTCTCCTCCTCCTTCTTATCCTACTAGTCCCCCTTATCCTTCTTGTCTTCCTCATCCTCTTCCTCCTTGTCCTCCCCATCTTCCTCCTCCTCTTCTTTTCCTCCTCCTCTTCAGCAGGTCTTATTATACAAGCCCTGGTTGGCCTCAAGCAGAACTCTTACACTACTACTCCCAGTTTAATTCTGCTTTCTTGACTTAAGGTCCACCCTTGAGGGAGTATGGCCATATCCTTAGGTCTTTGGGTTCCACCAAGACACTTTTTAAATCTTTGATGATGAATTTTTTTGCACTATCTAGCTGCTGACCATGGGAAGGCCATAAACACTGTGGGTGACAGGGCATCGGTCAAGACTGCTCTCTGAAGTCAGGCCCCCTCTGCTCTGATGGGCAGGAAGATAGACAGGTATCCTCAGACCATCCCATTTCATGCTCAGTAAAACTTGAAAAATAGTTTTGAAGATCAAAGGGGCTGGATTGCTTAGTGAGGGCCAGGGGGTCTAATCTTTGATCAGCATCATTTCAAGAAACAAAGGCATTAAACACTAAAACAGAAACTCTTAGGAGATGAGGACGGACCTTGTCGTGGAATATGCTTTGGCTGTGTTGGAAGACTTCCTGCAGTGTCCTGGTCTGCCTTTGCCAAGGGCAGTGCTCTGGTGGTGGTGGGTTGGAGGGACCTGGTTTCTGCACAGTGAGGGGACCATGGGAGGAAATGAGAAAGGTGACCTCATTAACAGCAGCCCAGGTGGGATACTCAGCACACTGTACCCTGCAGTAGGAAATAGATCCCCAGGCCATCTTCCATTTTTTTCCCCCAGACTTGAGATGTAGCCTGACTTCATGCTATTTTTGTGTTGCCAGCTAGACTCCAGTTTTTCATTAATAGATTGATCTTATATCGTAAATCCATGTTTAGCCTTTGCTGTTTCTTCTCTCTTTCTCTCTCTCTCTCTCTCTCTCTCTCTCTCTCTCTCTCTTTCTCTCTCTGCATGTGCTTGCATATGTATGTGCATGGACGTGGGGGCCAGAGGTCAACACAGGGTTTCTCCTTACTACTCTCCACTTTGTATTTTGAAGGAGGGTCTCTCATTGAACCTGGGGTTCACCATTTGACTAGCCTGGCCAGGAGCAAGTCCCTGGGGTCCCCTTATATGAGCTTTACCAGTGCTGGGATTATAGGTGCACTTCCACATTCAATTTTTTTTTTTTTATGTGGGTTTGGGGATTTGAACTTAGGTCTTCATGCTTGCATAGCACTTTACCAACTGAGTCATCTATCCAGCCCAACTTTGCCATTCATATATATATATATATGTATATTTGTTTTTGAGTAGAAGAAGTTCTATCGGGGTGGGGGTGGGGGGCTAGAGAGATGGCTCAGTGGTTAAGAGCACTGGCTGCTCTTGCAGAGGACCTGTGTTCAATTCCCAGCACCCAGATGGCAGCTCACAACTGTCTGTAACTCCAGTTGCAGGGGATTTGACACCTTTATACCAATGCACATAAAATAAATGAGTTATTTTTGGTTGTGCACCTAGCCTTTAATGGCTGAGCCATCTCTCCAGCCTTAAATAAATTATTTAAAAAAGAATTCATTAAAAAAAAAAGAAATAGATGTCCTATCAAGTTGGAGCTGGAGCTTGGGTGGGGATGGAGTACTTGTTTATCTTTTATAAGGCCATGGGTTCAGTCCCTTAGTCCTGGCAAGAAGTTCTGTTGTATCAGTAACTGGTACTGGGAAATCCATCTTCACTTAGTGTGTAATGAAATGTAAGCAAACCCTATCCATTTGCGTTTGGTTTGTATTATGCCTCCCTCCCCTTTTAAAAGTTAGCAAACCATTGGCATTTCCTGATGGCCTGCCACTTGACAGAAGGTGTAAGTGTGTAAGTGCCTGGGCGGATGGTAATCATTGGCAAATCGATTGGCCTCCGATGTAGGTGTTGGCACTTTGTGGGTAACTGAGCGTGTGCTGTGTTCATTTTATTTACGGGTCTCTAGGTGGATGCCAAACTCCCCATTGGGACCCCAGACTACATGGCTCCCGAGGTGTTGACCGTGATGAACGAGGACCAAAGGGGCACCTATGGCCTGGAGTGTGACTGGTGGTCAGTGGGAGTGGTCGCCTATGAGATGGTTTACGGGAAAACCCCATTCACCGAGGGAACCTCCGCCCGCACCTTCAACAACATCATGAACTTCCAGGTGAAGGCACCTTAGAATTTGAAGGGTAAAGCGCCACCAGCACACTTCAAGGCAGCTCTCTGCATCGAAGCTGTCAGCCATCATTAGGGTACCTTGGCATTTTTGGTAGCACTAAAAAGGGAAAACAGCTGCCATCTTAATTCTGTGTGTTTATTGAGTGTGAAGTGTATCTTGAGTTCACTGTTGGTTAACTGTGCATAAGTGTGAGCCTTGGAATCAGTGAGATACTTATTGGCTCCCTTCTTTTTCAAGCAACCTGGGGAAGTAGGTATGTCCACCTCACAGGCTGATGAAGAAACCAGACAGGATGGGCTGAGTGAATGGCCCGAAACATCGCAGGCCGTCCAGCTCTGAAGCTCATGATTCCCAGGAGGGGAGGAAGTGAGCAGATTAAGTTAGAACTGAAGCAACGTACGAATGTGTATACATACACATACATATAGAGTAGAATTAAAACCACTTTCTAATAAGTATACTTGCACTCCATTAAACCCTTTTCTAAAGGACATGATGAACCCGTTTTTTAGTTTTAGCTTCAAGGAGAAAAGAGGCCTCATTCCCTCTGATTTTGTATCTCATCCAATTTTCATTTTCCTGGAATGGTTGATGCATATTTTTTTTAAATGTACAAACACTGTTACTGAGGCTTCTCTTGAGTTGAAATTTCTCTCTAGATAACTCTTGGAGCTCATTTCCATCCTCCATTTCAGTCTGCTCATTCAGGAATTCAGGTTTGGCAGAACTGTACTTGGTACCAGGTCAGCAGTGATGAGCCAGGGCAGGGGGTGGGGTGGGCATCTTCACCTTCTCTCCCCACCATCCCTCAGAAACCAGAGCACATCAGTTCCAACAAAAGCGAAACATACCTTGGGTGGGTGGGTGGAAGCAGGTGGATCCTTGGCTCCATTCTGAGTTTGAGTTGAGCTATATGATAACCCTGTTTCAAAAAACCAAAAACAAGCAGGAAAAGGTGGAGTATAGAGGGAGCATCTGAAGGGAATGTCAGACAGGAAAGCAGGCAGGGAAAGCTGGGGGCTCGAGGGGAGGTGGCTGGTCGAGGGAGTTCTAGGCCGAGAGAACAGCATGAGATGTTGAAATAGGGACAGGGAGCTTGAAATAGTCTGCCACCGTTGGACAACAGAGAGAGAGAGATGGGGGCGTGAGATTAGAGGGGAGAGGGAAGCATGGGTCAAGCCACGAAGGACATTGAACCCCAACAAAAGAACTAGGTCTATTGATGTGTGCAGGCCACTTATTTCAGGAACATGCCTTTGGTCTGAAGTTATGAGGGCACAAAACTATTAAAAAAAAAAAAGAATGAAAAGAACTTACATGTATGAGAAATTCTCTCTTTACTTCAGGATATAAACTGAATCACTGCTAAAGACATAATTTAAAAAAAAATTTTTTTTTGAATAGCGTTTTTTGAAGTTTCCGGATGACCCCAAAGTGAGCAGTGAGTTACTAGACCTGATTCAGAGTTTGCTGTGTGGCCAGAAAGAGAGAGTGAAGTTTGAGGGTCTCTGCTGCCACCCCTTCTTCACCAGAACTGACTGGAATAACATTCGGAACTGTAAGTAGAACTGTGCTTCTTCAGCTTGGGTTTGGGATGGAGAATTATAGTAAGGCGGTCTGAAATTGACATGATGGCTTTAATTATTTACAGCCATAGAAAGAGCTAATGATGCAGCTGTCTTTGAGTAATAATCGTTTGCACAAAAGTGGGTCATTTATTTACCAAGCTCTGTCTATCCTTGCCTCTCAGAACATTTCTGAAGTTAGAGCTGCAAATGGTGGCCTTGAGAGGTTGTCCCTCAGTATGACAGTTTCCTCCAGGAGGAAACACAGACCCTGTCATTTTGTCCTCAGAATACGAAAAGACATGGAGATGGGGCAGCTGGGGCTCTGTGTAGGGCCAAGCCTGGGATGGAACCATAAACAGCTGGTTGTGTCCATGTGCTTCCCTCTGTGACACTCATCTTTCGCTCACACATATGTCAAATTCTTACTGTATACATCCAAGGACTCAGTCACACCTCACTGTATAATCAGAGTATAAACTGAATCAGTTTACTAAGAACAAGAATCTGATTTATTGTCAACAACACCAAGAACAATGTTTGCCTGTTTATTTATTTATTTGTATTTATGAATTGGTGGTTTTAAACTAATTTGTGTGTGTGTGTGTGTGTGTGTGTGTGTGTGTGTATGTATGTGTGTTGTTGTTGTTGTTGTTGATTGAAGGTCACCCCATGACCTGGCCCAATGATCAGCATAGATCTGAGTGGCAGTGTTGGGTGTGTTTATTTTTGGTGCTGATAGGAGGTGGGGAATTGGAAACTGTTTTTAGGTGTCAAGTCTGAGCTTCTAATTAGAGCTGTGCTGTGATTACAGGTTGAACATCCAAACAAAAAACAAAAAACCCAATAACAACAACAAAAAAGAAAAAACCCCGCCAAACTGAATACTCCAAAATCTGAAACTTTTTGCCAAGGAAAGTGGGAAACGGTTTATTAGAGCAAATGGTCTTCTGAGATTCTTTCAGATCGTGGTCTCTGCTGTGCTTTGGGCCTGTGGTGGCGCAGTGCACCATGGTGGGAGGTGAACACACGCAGTGAGGCCTCATCACCTCTCGGTGGCTGGAAGCAAAAAGAGGGAGGGACTTGTATCTCAATATCCCTTTTAGGGTCATGTGACCTCACCTCCACTCACTAGGCCCTACCTACAAAGGTGCCACCACATCCTAGAAGTGCCACAGTGTGATGACCAAGCTTTCGGCACATGGCCTTTTAAAAGAGACATTTATGGCCTAAACTGTAGCATTCTGGTAGTCACACACTGACTCAGTTTTTCTAGTATGCAGTCAGTTCCCTCCAAATTTCCAAAGGTGAGACTTTTTAATCAGTAATATATTTTCATTCTTTCCATTAACACTTTTAGAAAGGTTTGATAGAGTATCCTTTAGATGCTATTCAAGCACTAAATCTTTTCTTGTCTTGCCTTTTCATCTCATCTTCTTGAACAAGCAATTAATGTTTTTATGCATGAGCTTGCTAATTATGCCTAACAACGCATTTCCACTTAGGTAAGTCAGTGAATGGTGGTTAATTATCTGAGTAACTTTATTTTGTGTTTTGGTAGGCACTGATGTTGTTTCTGCTATGAGAGTTTGCCCTCCCCGCTGAGGGGGTGGGGCGGGGCAGTGGTTCCAGGGACAATCCCCTTCCCTCTTGGATACCCAAATCTAAGGCTGCCCAAGTTCATCTTTATATAAATTGACACATCATTTGCATCTACTGGATTAACACCCTCCTGTGTCTTCTTTTAAGTCACGCCCAGATGACCTCTGCTACCTGATAGGAAATGATGTTTTGTGCAGGCAATCAGTGGCCAGAAGCAGCAGCAGGATGTGCTCAGCCTAGACATGGTTTCCCTCGAGCACCTTTTAAAAAAGGGTTTATTTTAATTCTAGCTTTGTGTGTATGTGTATGTGGCAGATGTGTATACATGAGTGCATCGTGGAGATCATAGAGAGCTTGGACACCAGTGCTCCTTCATTCAGAAGGTGGAGACAGGACTGGGGCTGGAGCTCAGTCCTCAGGAGAGGTCCAGGGTTTCACCCCAAGCACCATGTCAGGAGGTCACAGCCGCCTGTAATCCCAGCTCCAGGGTAGGCCATGCCCTCTCTGGTGTCTGTGGCCACCTGAGACTTTTCACAGATTCCACCAGTTTTTCTAACTCAGGCCCATATGCAGGAAGGTGTTTGTTTGGATGTTACTAGGATTAGTTTAGGTAGCTCCCTTGGGACCAGAATCCTCAGTCTCTCTGCAGTGCCTGGTAGTAGTGCCTGGTGGGTCCTGACCATGCGAAGAGGCACGGTTTTTCATCTGATGTGTCTGCCGGAAGATTTTTCTCTTTGTGTGTTTGCAGTCAGCTCAGGGTCTTGTGAATCAATGTTGCCGTACTCCAAGTGGTCTGAGCTGTTTTCTAACATGAATTATGCCTTTGTCCAATTCTGTTTCTCACAAACACACATGGAGTGACTCTCATCAGCCCAGAACTCTTGCAGTCATCAGGTTTCCCAAGTTCACGGTCACCACTTCAATGCCTCATGGTTCCCGGCTGTTGAACATTTCCGCTTCCCACAACATGATATTGTCCCTGATGAAAGCGACATTAGCCTCTCTGCTGCTTCACCCCTAATTCTTCTTTTTCTTGTTGTAACCAATGAAAGCAAGTACTGCTTAACACAGCAGGTAATAATCGTCAGAAATGCATTATCTCGAGAGGTGGTCCTTGGGCGATACAAGAATGCAATTTGAGAAGGGTCTGGGCAAGTTGATGAGGGACAGAACTGGGAGTGACAGGGAGGGAAGTGAAGGCTCACTTCTGCTTGCTCTCCTGGGTCCTGCCCCTTGGAGTTGTCATGGGCAATAGCATGTGACCTGGGGATCTGACCCAGTTCAGGGGTGTTACTCTCCCAGCAAATCCAAGACTCTGAGGAGTCACCGCCACGCTGTTGGGTGTCCAGGCACCTGATGCTCTGATGTTTCCTTCCCTGCCTTCTGCAAGGTTGTATTTTCCACTGCTCATTATTGTCATTATTTCAGGGTAGCGCTCCAGGGGCTCCCAAACCCTAACAGCTGCCCTGGGTGGTGCAGTTGCGAAGTTTCAGATTCTGATCTCGACTTGAGTTTCTCTAGGGTCCTGGGAGCCAATCAGAGCTCTCCACTTTCATGGTGTTGGTGTCCCCTGACATCTCTCGGCTCCTGTCAGTGGGAAGGTTTTGCTGTCTGGCACTGTCCCAGAGCACATCTTTTAAAATATCTTCCCCCAGTGGAACTGGCACACTTAACACCTTTCACCGAAGGTCTTATGTCTCGAGGATGGTGTAAATGTGAGGGGTGTCTGCAAATTCTCCTTGAGTGTTTCTGGGCCGCTGTCCTGGAGAACCAACATTGTTGGTTGTCACTCCTGACACAGCAGGGCTTTTCTCTCGAGTCATCCTCTCACTGTTTCCAACATGAAGCAGTTCTTGCCAAGTCCTCCCAGTTTTCCAGGTCTGTAGCCTCTGTTAGCAGAGAGTACATTTTGTCTGGATCCAGCAGTGACTCAGTGGCAAGCCCATGCTGATGGCACATTGGGATCTGCCCTTTCCAATAGATGTCACTTTTCCTTGCTCTCCCTGGCTCTGGGCAGTTGGTCACATGACTGCAAACCTGTGGGATGGATGGGTGCATCTAGTTGAAGAGGTGGATTCTGTGCTTTATCCATCACTGCTTGACAGTACTGAAAAATTCTGTGTGTAAAGTAAACGTTACCCTGTAGCTTCCTCTTTAAAATTTCAGTCCCTTAGCAGCATAGGCTGCATTCATTCTATCCCAGTACAAGGAATTCTAATATATGACACAGTATTGCTTCAAAACCCTTGGGTTTTAGATTCACCTTACAAATGCTTTTATAATTAAGATTTACAGCCTGAGGTGAATGGCAAAGAACACTACATTTTTGTTTTGTTTTGTTTTGGTTTGTTTTTTTTTAAGAACAGAGGCTCTCTCAACTTTGGCACCACTGACATTTGGGGCCAGAGTGTTTTTTTTTTTTTTTTTTTTTTTTTTTTTTTTTTTTTTGTCTCAGGTCTGCTGTATGAATTGCAGTGTGTCTCTCATCACCTCTCCTCTACCCAGGCTGTCATTTAGCATCCCCCTTCTGCAGTTGTGAGACTCAAGAAAAGTCTCCAGACATTGTGCTCATGGTCCCTTGGGGGGGGGGACTCAAGGGACACAGTTGCCCCCAGTTGAGAATTTTCAGGAAGAAGAACGACACTCCAGTAATGTTAATCCCCCAAGACTGCTATTGCTAATAAGCCTGGCACTGTTGCCAGACGTCAGTAGGACTTTTCTGCTCGGGTTGTGGTCTGTGGACCAATAGCATTGTCATCGCCTGGGAGCTTGTTAGAGATACAGAGAACCGGTCCTAAGTCAGAAGTAGTGTTTTAATAAGATCCTTCGGTGATTCCTGTGTACATTAGAGTTTACAAACTACAGAGGAGGAGAAACATTGGATGTGTCAGGCTTAGCATTTCTTGCTCATTTTTGTGGGCTTTCCTCGTTTTGACTCCTAGGTTCAGGGTGAGAGGAGGCTGCATTCTGGTTAAGGACTCCCATAGAGGATGTAACTGCTTAGAATTGTTGGCTTAATTTAAAAAAATATGTTTATTTGTTTACATGAGTATGTGTGTGGGGGTCAGAGGACAACTGGTGTGAGCCGGTTCTTTCCTTTTACCTTGTGGGTCCTGGGAATTGAACTCACGTGTCACCAGGCTTGGCAGCAAGCATCTTTGCCTGCTAAACCATCTCACTGGCCCAAAATTGTTGGATTTTCTGCTATACCGTTGAGGAATGAATGTCAAGCTTTTCTCTCAGATGGACTCAAGATGATGTTGTAACCTCTTCTTCATCTGATGGCAAAAGGGAATTTGCTCATCTCTCCCATTTACTGTCATCTCGTTCCCTGTTAATGAAGGATGGGTTAAGTGCCCTTCATTAATACTTCTTAGGCAAGTATTATATT